GTCATACGAAATAGATAAACGTCGTCTTAAGGCCATGCTGTCTAGATAACTAGCGACCATATCAAATAGACTGGCGATTAGTCAAAACTTTTAGAATACTTTGAATGTCAAGCTGGCGTACCTTTATTACTAAACTATTCCGCGTGGGCCCTAAGAATAAAATAACTAACTTGAAGACTTTGAGAAGGGCTTCTCTCGTGAAGAGTGTGATCTATAACTTTATTTAATGAAAATGGAGTCTAATAGAATCAAACTGGATGAGAATAAAAAATAGTGTCAAATATCCTTGTATTCATTCATAAACTAGTACTTATGTCCAAGTGCTCAAGAGAAAAACTGATCTTTAGCTACATGATAGACATATTACATTTCTAAGATAGCCACACATGTACACTCTACAGCTTTATTTCAGTGTTCTTCTACGTACAGTGCTGCACGTTTATACAATTCTTTGAGTTCTGAATTCAAAAACACGTCCTTAAATTGCTTCAAGTAAGCTGTTAAATCTCATTTCTGCTTGGATCCATAGTTTAAATGTATTGCTCTTATCTTTGTTGTTAATTTTTTTCTTTACTTTCTTTGTGTACATATGTATAGTAAATTCCTTGTGCATATTTTTTTTTTGTTTTTGATATCTGCTATCTAACAACTTTTTTGCATGGGTGGTAAAGTGCTAAATTTCGCTTCCATTTGCAATTATTTCTTTCTGTATGGAATTGTAAAGTTTCAATAAACACGATTATTATTAACTTTTCAAATTCTTTATAGCAGTTACAGTACTGCAGTGTTAAGGCTTTGCATTTTCTGCTTGTTCAGTATAAAAAAATAGCTAAATTGCGTCGTGAAAAATGATGGATCTGTACACTTAAAGCGGTGTTTATCATCGAACAAACTATGCACATCTAACTCGTACACTGAACTTTCTATTTATATTCCGTACAATTTTTGAAAGCCATTGACGCCTACATTTTTGAATCCATTATGGGCACTACAGTTTATCGGGTTTATCGGTGTTCGACCGAAAGTGGAAGTGAAAATACACTGTTGGTATAATGTGTACAGATGTAAGTGGGTTAATGGAGTAAATAATATTTCGTCACCGTTTTAAGTTGTTCGGGGGCATGGTGAAAGAATGGTTGTTTGCAGTAGCGTAATCATACGAAATGGCATAATTAACCATAACATTCACAGCTAGAAGAGAAATGCTATATTTTTCACGGCTCGATCTATATTGGTTTAAAACTTTTCCATAATAGGTGTATTTTCGTTCTGATGACGATTTGTATCCTAGGTGATGTATTTACTTTGAAGCAAAGACACAACCTGGTGATAGCAGTACGAGTTTACTTTGAAAAACTATGACGCTTCTCAATACAAAGGATAGGTAGATTAGGTAATTCTAGGCGCTGATTCTAATACAGTGTGTTTTCAAGGTTAAGGGCCAATTTCACCAACAACAGTCCGTTATTCTCCACCTATAGGGTAACAGACCGTCAGATACAGCGAATGAGCTTCAAGATCCAATCAACAAATTTTAGCAACCAATAGCTATGAAATATTGAAAACAAAATACTGTCAAAGTATGAGATGACAACTTGTCATTGAAACATTACCACCTTATTGAATATTAAGAAATTACATATAATTCAGTCAAAATTTTAAGAAATGTTTGATTTTTGAATTAAATTATGTTTTAATTACTATTGTTGATTTTTTCATTTTTATATTATTTTCTTCAATTGATATGTGATACTGGGTGCTTTTTCCTATAAACCTCTTGCCGATAGCCATTAAGGCAGCAGCGGTGGCCGCAGTAGTAGACTCTTCGGTCTCCTGATCAGTCGCCGTGCGCTGAGCGGGTTCGAGTCCCGTCCCAGGAGAAATTTTTCTCTTGGCTATGGATGTTGTGATTGTCCGTAGGTGGTAGACGGTCTCTGACTGTCGAACGCGGAGGTACCACCCGGCGGATCTCGTAGGCGGTGCCAGAATGTGTGCATGTTGCATGTACACGTGTTCCCTCGCCAGAGTCCGTGTGGCTTTCCCCCTTTCCCATGTATCCCCCTATAGCCCCACGATACCCAATAGGTGCTTAGGCCTTAGGCCTTCGTGGTAGTTGGAGTATCAAAAAAAATTAAGCACCTACTTGATGACAGACTCTACCAAAAGATATTGCTCGTTTCCAAAATTCATTCATTTACTTGCCGTTCATTAGAACCATTATGGCACCTTAGATTGATATTCCCACAAAACCATTCAGATTTTTTGATATCCATACATCCATAAAGTTGAATATTTTTCGTTGTTCAGGAACTGAACAAACATCCACACTATATTCACAGCGATTAAGA